ATTATTATTATCTGTATTATTATTATTATTATTATTATTATTATTATTATTATTATTATTATTATCATCATTATTATTATGTCTTTGCCATTAACATTATCATTGTTTCTCTGGTAGGCATCTTGTACAGGGACATGTTTTTGCCTAACCAGTCTCATTACGTTTTGAGTGAAATAAAATTATGAATTATGAATTACACCAATGTCATCTATCGATAAAAACATCGATTTGATTAATTAACAGCAGCTTTTCGCACTGTGACAGTGCCGATAGAAAACAGCAACTTTTTGGCACTGCGGCAGTGCCGATAGAAAACGGCAGCTCTTTGGCACTGCGGCAGTGCCGATAGAAAACATCAGTTTTTTTTGGCACTGCGGCAGTGCCAAATTGGCACTGCGGCAGTGCCGATAGCCACTTTTAGACAAGCATCGGTGAGTCACAAGAGCTACAAGTGAAATATAAACTGAAATGTACAATATGTATTGTAATTTAATATGTATATGTCTGTAAATCGGCATATGTATGTATTTATTGGATATGTAGATATGATTTATTTACGTGTGTATGTTTGTTTATAATGTGTATGTAAAAGCTAATATTATTGGATTTGTATGAATAATTAATAAAACAGACCTATAACTTATAAACTTTGTTTGCTTACTATATGCTTGGTTTTCAACATCGTCGAGTTTACCGCTAGAAGACGTAGAGCCAGTAAACTTTAATTCATCCATTCTTTTCCCTTTCTGATATCCTTTATTTGAAATACGTACAGTCACATAATTACAAAAAAAATATACTGCGTTTTGAATTAAAAAAACGTTTATACTGGTACGTAATAACAGTCACGTCTAGTTATTAGGTAACATTTCAATGTATTATGTACAAGAGGTATAGGGGTACAATAGACAAACTTCTAAAATGGATTAAATAGAATTTGTATAATTAACATGTACCGGTGTAATTGTTATGATAATTTAGTTTTATTGATTAAAACGTCATGTACTTGTTTATTTATGTATTTAATAACAAAATTTATCAATATTATACAGTTAGGTAGCAGTGTTTTGTATTCAATTTGCAGTAGTGGAAAAGTATATTATTTCTATAATACTATTGTCGCACATTACGAAAATGACCACAAATACAGACACGTTAAAGCTTTCTTTTCGTTACTCGTCACACCAACATTTATTTATTAAGTATTTTTCTTTTTTGTGTAGATATGATTTATTTACGTGTGTTGTTTGTCTATAGTGTGTACGTAAAAGCTAATATTAATGGATTTGTATGAATAATTAATAAAACAGACCTATAACTTATAAACTTTGTTTGCTTACCATGTGCTTGGTTTTCAACATCGTCAAGTTCACCGCTAGAAGACGTAGAGCCAGTAAACTTTAATTCATCCATTCTTTTCCCCTTCTGATATCCTTTATTTGAAATACGTACAGTCACATAAATACAAAAAATATACTGCGTTTTGAATTAAAAACACGTTTATACTGGTACGTAATAACAGTCACGTCTATTTATTAGGTAACATTTCAATGTATTATGTAGGAGAGGTACAGGGGTACAATAGACAAACTTATAAAATGGATTAAATAAAATTTGTATTATTAACATATACCGGTGTAATTGTTATGATAATTCAGTTTTATTGACTAAAACGTTCTTGTACTTGTTTATTTATGTATATAATAACAAAATTTATCAATATTATACAGTTAGGTAGCAGTGTTTTGTATTCAATTTGCAGTAGTGGAAAAGTATATTATTTCTATAATACTATTGTCGCACATTACGAAAATGACCACAAATACAGACACGTTAAAGCTTTCTTTTCGTTACTCGTCACACCAACATTTATTTATTAAGTATTTTTATTTTTTGTGTAAATATGTGTATGTTTGTCTATAATGTGTACGTAAAAGTTAATAATAATGGATTTGTATGAATAATTAACAAAACAGACCTATAACTTATAAACTTTGTTTGCTTACCATATGCTTGGTTTTCAACATCGTCGAGTTTACCGCTAGAAGACTTACAGCAAGTAAACCTTAACTTTAATTCATCCATTCGTTTCCTCTTCTGATATCCTTTATTCGAAATACGTACAGTTACATAATTACAAAAAATATACAGCGTTTTGAATTAAAAACACGTTTTTACTGATACGTAATAACAGTCACGTCTATTTATTAAATTACATTTTAACGTATTATGTACAAGAGGTATACAGATACAACAGACTCCTTCTAAAATGGTTTAAATATAATTTGTATAATTAACATGTACCGGTGTAATTGCTGTGATAATTCAGTTTTATTGGCTAATACGTTTTTTTACTTGTTTATTTATGTATTTAATAACACAATTTATCAATATTATACAATTAGGTAGCAATGTTTTGTATTCAATTTGCAGTAGTGGAAAGGTATAGTATTTCTATATACTATTGTCACACATTACGAAAATGAGCACAAATACAGACATGTTAAAGCTTTCTTTTCGTTCCTCGTGTCACACCAACATTTATTTAGTAAGTATTTTCTTTTTTTTTTGGTGGTTAGGATCAAATCAATGAGACCTTTGAAAAGAGCATAGTGACGTATTGTCAAAGGGAGTTCCACAGTTTGCTCCATAACACATTACCTAATTTGTTGCGAGTAGATTTAAATGGCAGATTTTTAAAAGTATATCCGTCTTTATTTAATATTTGTATTCGTGTAGCATAGTATGCTGAGAATGATTAACAGGGAATCAAATCTTAAAACCTACAATTGATGTAAAACTTTTCATCATTTTATTTTGTAAGCTTTTAGTATAGCCTGACTATCGAATAATGCATATCTTTAGCTAAGACTGAAGACACTACTATACAAATCAATATGCTTATCAAAATTATACTTGCCACGTTTTATCCAGCCACCGACGATAATTCGTCCATTTGATAGCTTTTTACCGCTATGAGGATCTATAATAGATGACGGTAAAATGAGAAATGAGAAATATAAATTAAAGAAAAAAAATATTCGCTACTCATTCTCATCATCCTCAGCAATCCCTTCAACATAGTCATCAGCACCAGCAACTGGTAGGCTTAAATTTTACTCAAATACCTATCGTGATCTGTATCATTAAAAAAAAAAGTAACTGTGAAACTATACTGTTTGTACTAATTTGGGGCATGTCAATAAACTGTAAAACACTCCTTTTCTATTCAAATGCCTAGGTCTATCTTTTTCGATAATTGATCTGATTAGTAACAACACTAGGCCTACACATCAGCAGTGGCATATTTATGAGAGCATTGGTGAACTAGGGGTACACGCCTCTTAAACAGCAATTGGCCGTAGCCCCTCCCCCAGCCGCCCCTCCATCACCGCTGGAATTTAGATGAGCAAAAAAATCACCACATATCGCACTATTTTGTCAGCTAGCGTTCCTCATCTAATTATCTGACACCACCACTTATATGTTCGTCCCCCATCAGCCCTAACGAATTGCGAAGTTACACCACGAGCACCACCAATATCATCAGGGCCACCAACATCATCATTATCACCCCCACCGCAACAACCTCATTAGGCCTAGGCCAAAGTTTTACTAAAATATCCTGTTGTTATATTAGCAAATTTTCTGCAAAAAAAAGGTGAGTGTGAGGTCCATTCACGGATAGGTGAGAAAACTGTAAACAAACGATAAGCCTATCTATTCAAAGTGATCTGAGGATCATTATTATTTTTACTAAAATTTGTTTTTGTGTTATCATTATCTAAACTTCCTTTTCTTATGCTAACAACTCACCAAATTTTAAAATCTCAACAGGTCCCTTAGATTCCAATGTCTCAACGATGTTGTTAATTAAATTAAAGCTTCCGTCTGGCAGGAAAGAAAACACCTTCCCTAGCAATCGTCTGTCTTTAGATACATTTATAAATCCAAGGAAGATATACGAATGATACCGACCTGGTAGTGCAACGAAGCTCAACAACTCTTCTCTGAAAGATCAGTGGGGGATTTAGAGTAATTTTTGTCAAAGCTTATCAGAAAATCACCATGCTAAATGTTAAAAATCAATCAAATACAAACTCAAATTAAAATTATGATGGGATTTACCCTTTCTACCCCTACCAGGGGCTCTTCCATAAGGCTATTCAATTCGCACATTCACGCCCCTTCTTTCCTAACGGGTTATGATCCACCCCTGCAGATGTAAACAATTTCAATTTAGTTATTACATTCTGTCACATTGATAAATTCTAATTCAATTAACATTGGCGAAATCGGTGTTAGCTCGCCCCCTCGGCAGCAAGCAAATACTCAACCACGTATGAAACATTCAACAAAGCACATATCCCTCTGGTCCCAAATAGGTAATACATCCCCCACAACCCTTAATTCTCAGACTAAAAGACCTCAATTGGTGTTCGTCTCCACATTCCCGGAAAATTATTTGGTCAGGTTATAAACACAACAAACCCTCCATAGGACTATAACTACACATGACCTTGCAATGATGGCCTTCTATAGCTTTTGCAAGATATACCGAATAAATGTATATTACATCTTACTCTGGTTTCAGTAAAACTTTGGAAAAATCGTTCCATCTAATAGTAATCTTGTTGTCTTCAGAATGAAGTTTTCCTGCACACGTAATATAGCGTAAAATTGTTTTATCTTCTCTTTGTTCTTCTTTTTTTTCTTTTTCCATTTTTAGAGCAAATGCATACACTTGATCACTGAGGACAATTCCAATTGGACTGAAAATAATAATAATAATAATAATAATAATAATAATAATAATAATAATAATAATAATAATAATAATAACAATAATAATATTAATAATAATCATGAATTAGTGAATCATCAAAGACTCTATTTTCACGGAGTCTGATTAAAATTTTTTACAAGAATATAAAATACATACACAAAACAGAAAAAATATAAAAAAAACTCAAGAATCGATCACAAAAATAATAAAAATAAAACAAATAACAAAGGTAAAAAAGACAATTAGGCCTATAATCATTTATTCAATTGAATAAATTATTTTTCTAACTTATTGTAAAACTATAACTAAATACCAAAAGGCACACCAATACATAAATAAAATTATTCATTCTTAAGTTAATTATTATTTAATTTATTGCAAATTAATAATACATTAAGTAAAAAATAAATGTGTTACTAGAACTAAATCATAAAGACAATTCTCACGTAGTTTATTTTACTTCCAATTGTAAAAGTTGTCTATACATTATGCGTTATATAAACTCATACAGTAATTCGTTTTCACTAACCATGTGTAATATTTATTGTAGGCCTGTTGAAAATTTTAACACTCTTGTTGCTTAGAATGCAATTGAACAAAAAAAAAATCGAAGTTTTGAAACAATTCCTTGTCTTGATTTACTTTTTTCATGATGTTGAAAATACAAATATAGGATAATGCTTGGTATGTGTGAGCTTGTAGCCTATGCAATCCAAGTTTTGGCATGGCCTGCTAGGCATCTTATATAACGGAGACTCGTCGATTACAGATATGGTAGATTGATTGTAAACAGAAAAAGAAAAACGCCCTTGCCCTTCTAAAATTGGTTGAGATGTGACGCTATAACAAGTAATTTTTTCGCGCCGCAACTTTAGGCTGTCGATCAAGAGGAAACAGTCATTAAGAAACTGTAGGATAGCGGTAACTTTTACTACGAAGAAATTTGAATTAAGAACTAAGCAATGCGCATGCGCAATTACCAAATAACCTCAAGGAATTATCTAATAAAAACACAGTGAGAATGCGCTTGAAAATTCTAGACAGCCAGTGAGCATGTGCATTGAGTAAGTGACGTTATCGAACAAATTTCTAGTATGCGCAGTTACCAAAAGAGTCTCAGGAACCAAATGGCGGCTGCGAAGAGCGTATGAAATAGAAACGAATCGAACATTATAATTTATGCAACAATAGAGCATGTGCAATTCAGCTAAAGCGATCAGGTAACGGATGGAAAATAATTAGAACTCGAGCGGGTGAAAAAGCCTGTATTTTGGATATCTTTACAGACAGTTCATCAGGGGGATTTGTAATTAAATTAATTAAAAGTCTATAAGGATCTACCGTCGTACATACGTAGACCTTATGCATTGACAATCCCATAAAAAATAACCACAGAAAATGACAACACAACCTAGCGCCTACTATTAGCCAAGTTAGAGCCAAGGTATTCCACATTTATTGTGTCGAAAAATACGGTGCCGTACGCTGAAAAGGGTTATGGTGGGTTAACTATTATCAAAATATCGTGCGGTACCCATGCTTTATCGACCCATTAAAAATAGCCACACACTGGCTGCAGTCAGTAGTAGAAGGGATAAGCCAAGCTAGTGGGGGAGGGGGATGAATACAAATAAATAAAATAATAATAATAATAATAATAATAATAATAATAATAATAATAATAATAATAATAATATTATTATTATTATTTATTATTATTATTATTATTATTATTATTATCAACATTAATCAAAATAATCAAAATTAATGCCGAAGTATTAATGAAAAAAAATCCAAATGGAAGAATTGAGGCAATACGGTAAATTATGTGCCATGTCATAACAAAATTCACACATATTATAAAGTTAGAATTAGTTTTATAAACTAATTGAATAAGGTGAAGATGTTGCGGCGTTTTTCTTTTGTATTTTTTTTTTTTTTTTTTTTTTTTTTTTTTTGGGTTTTTTTTTTTAAATGTTATAGTAGAAAGAGCTCTACGCCCTCCCCAAACGTCCAGCGTCCCTCCAACCACACTCTCACCTGATGAACTGTTTCTTGTCGACGTTGCTCCTGTAAACGGGATCTAAATAAAAGAAATAATATAATATTTATAAATAAGGTTATATACGGCTTATATACGTGGAAGCGGTTGGCATAATGGTTGTGCCTCAAATTCTGAAAGTCTGGGGCTCGGGAATTTTGCTCTGCAGGTCACTTGTGTAATTGGTCAAGGCAATATCTGCATTGCTTCTCTCCACCCAGAAGTATAAGTGGGTACCTGAGGAGGTTCGAGTGCCTAATGCTCTAATATATTTCATGCTATGGAATTTTGATATTTTTCATACTATGGAATTTCCGCATACGTTCCAGTGACGTGGATTCCCTACCTCGACGTCAGGGGTTCGAAACTCTCGCTGTAGAAGTCGCTTGTGTCCTTGGGCAAGGCATTTTACCTACGTTTGTCTCTATCTACCCAGTATAAATGGGTACCTGGTAGGATGTTGTAACACTGAATGCACTAGTTTCGTGCGCTAAGACAAGACTGTAGCACACGGCTAGGCATAGGCCTACATCTCCAGGGAGCAGAGAAGGTTGCACTTTGTGCTTGTTTGCCATTGCATGTTATCCAATGACCAATAATAATAACACTCAGCGCCTTTGATCTATCATATAATTTGAAATTGGCGCTATATAATTATTCAAGCATTATAATTATTGACAGATGTAGTTATGCAGGAAAGAAATTTTGAATCTTAGTTGTCCGTAGAGCGCGCTATATAAAAAGGGATAGACTTATACTGTATTACACTGTTTTATGATTGGGAATGTAGCATCAAAGTAAAATGATAAAGCATTGTTTAATTTAACTACATAAATTTCACTTTGGTTGTGCTGGCTGTATGGTTGCCTACTTCAGGCTGACTTACTTGAGAGTTGAATGCACGTTTTTCCAAAAAAAGTGTGTTTTATTTTTTGTAACGCACCAGACGAACGTTTCTCGTGTTTTATCTGCAGTAAGTATACGTATTGTCCTTCAACGTCATCAGTTACGTCTTTAAATCTAAGGTATCCTTCTGCAGCTGCACCTTTTTTAATAAGTCCCTTTAATTCGAACGTAAATTCGACTGGTCCATGGCTGTCATTCACATTACAGTTCCCTTTTATTTTATCTTTCAATTTTTCGTCAGGTGGATAAAGTCTCCTTAAAATGTTTTCTGGCCAAGTACGTGATAGTAATAATAGAGTACAACGTCTACTATGGTATCCCTCCATTTCTTGGAAGCATACATGATCTGAATTATAATTTGATTTAAAAGATGCCTTGATGCACTCTCCTCTTGCAACCGTTTTCTCTTTATCGTTTCCGAAATCAAGAGCTTCTTCATATTCTGATTTTGCAAAATCTGCCAAGCACAGAAATATACATGTATATTTTTAGATAATTACCTTACGTATACGGTAATTTTCATCATTCTACGTATAATATTATTAATTATTTATTCAGGCAAAAGATACGATATACAAAATATAATGAAAATAAAAAAAATAAAAACAAACACAACATTATACATTTTCATGTCATTAAATAAACCATTAGCTACCAGGAAAGCACAAAAGCAGTCTAAACCACTGCCACCAAAGGTATGTTATAAATGCATCCCATCGGATACAGCTATAGCGTTGGCTGGCTCTGTGGACAATCATATTTAAACTGAAATAAGGAAAACCGTTCATTTTACCTCTTTTTAGATAAGCCACTATTTCAAAATCATCCAGTGCTCGTTCTGCATTTATCTCATTTTTCTGATCCTTTTTGATTACCGTGTTATTTATCTGGAAAAAACAAAATTACATAATTTGTCTGAATTGTGAAATACAATTTTAATTTCAATGAATGCATTGCTAGAAAAAATACCAGTATAACGTACCATTGTGATAATGTGCACTGATTAATATAATATAATGATAAAAGTTATGTCGTCGGCGTAAGCGAGCGATGCTGCTCGCAGCATCTCATGTGTTCATATAAAGACATCATTATAATGTACTACTTTGACACTCTCCACTTAGAACTAAAATGGTTACAAGGGCGGCACCAGTGGGGGGTATTCGGGTCGGACAGACCTGGACCCTCCTCCCTTCCGACGCACGACTGCGTCGTCGGATTAAAAATTTAAAAATAATAATAATAATAATAATAATTTGCCTATCCAATAGACCTAAGTTTTTATTTTTTTTTTTTCTTTGTTTTTTTTATTTTTTATTGCCAATCCCTAATTTTGGTCTAAAAGCACATTTGGACCATACTAAGCCATAAAACTCTCCCCGTCGTGAACCCTAAATGGCTGATCTAGAGTGGGCTGAATAGGGTGGCTAGCCACCCCTCCCCACCTGCTCCCTTCGGTGACCTCGAAAAAAAACATGGTCATTCCTCTTGTGTGTGTGCTTCTCATGTATACATGTTACATGTAGTAGTCTACTCTCGTAAAAACATACCCTTTATATTTTAAGCTTAACTTCTGTTCAGATGTCATCCAATGGCGTCTGCCCGTCTACTAATTCAAAAAAAAATCTCAAATGGAAGGGGATGCCTCTCCCTAAACCCATGATCAGGGGGGGGGAGGGGGCACGTTCTCAAATATTGATGGGGTTCGTCCCCTCATTTTTCGTCCGCAATGCAATAATTTCATAAGTCAAGGAGATGCCTGAACATTGTTGAATATAAATGCATAAATGACCAACAGTGTGCTGTACAACTGGCACTCTATCTCTGCCCACAAACATCCGAATTACTTATAATCTACGACCCCAGAGCGCGTGCCTTTATTATAATTTGAGAAGTATGAGAAAAAGCGTATAATAATAAGATCGGTTTTCGACACATGGTAAAATAAATTAAAAATACATCAAAAACAATTGAGTTTTATTTTCAATGGAACACCACATCGATTAATTTGATCGATGATGATGATGATGTTATTATATAAGAGTGTCATTTCCGGTAATCTTAGAGAGGCACTATTTCCCCAAATATTCCACCTCAGCCCTTAATTATGGTGTGAACTAATGGCTTTGAAGTAAGTAGGTCTAAATCAAATACATCAACGACATATAAAATTTTTAAATATTTATTTTCTATAGTATATCACACATATTAATTAGATATCTATGGTTGCCGAAATTGCTGGTAAAACATCACGAGAAGTTTGAGCTGCAATTTGACTATATAATGGTGATGTGATGACGGTGAATTGTACTATATAAAAGTGTCATTTCCGATCATCTAGAGCTACTATTTCCTAATGTTTTCGCACCTCAGGCTAAACCATTGTGGGCCTGAGGTGGGTGTGGGTTCACGAAATTTCCCCCCTCACCTTTTGAAACAGATCTGAGCCTTTGTCAAAACTACGCCTCAATCCCCACCCACCCCCGCTTAGTGCTTTGAAAATCGCATTATCCACCCCCCCCCCCCCCAAAAAAAAAAAACCAAAAAAAAAAAACACCACTGAACCCTACCCAGGATTTTGTTTTTATTCCGTGCCGTTGACCGAATCTTCGTGGCCCCCTTGGTTGGGATTCCTCCGTCGGACGTGTAGGACCACTTGTCGGAAAATTTATGGCGCCATCGCTGACTAATAAGGTGTAAAAAATAACTATATGACTAGACTATGAATCACTCACAGGGACGGCCAAGAAGGTTAAACACATTGAAATGAAAGTAATGAAGTAGTAAAAATAATTAAATAGTTTTTGACATTTCACTTTTACAGCTGTGACAGCACACACAAAAGTGGCGCAATCATTCTTGAAATAATGAAGGAGACTGAAAACAACAACTTAAGCTAGACTTATATGATATAAAAACTTAACTAAAACAAAAAAAAAAGTTTTGATTTGGATATATATATATACATAAATCATCAAAGAAAGATAAATACAGTGTTCGAATAAAGGACATAATAATACATGGTGTAGCATAGCTCTCAACGAATGTAGTCCTGTAAATAAATGAATAAAGAAATTGTGTAATAAAATGCCTCTGGTGGGACTGGAACCTGCGACCTCTCGCTGTCAATGCGAGCGTCATAACTATTAGACCACGGAGGCTTCATGGCTACACAGACTCAAATACCACCAAATACATTCCATTATACAATAAGTACGGCTAGAAACAAATAATTGCATATACTGAAATATATATTAAGATAGCCGTTAACACTGTTAAATTATATACATAAATCAAAGTACTATTAATTCTTAATTATAGCATTATTCGAGCACATTCATTATTATTATTATTATTATTATTATTATTATTATTATTATTATTATTATTATTTATTGATTTTATTTTGTTTTATGAATATGCCTAGGCCTATATAATATATATTGCATATATTTAACAATTATTTACAATTAGAAATAATTATAATTATTAATTGTAAAACAAATATAATATAATGTTAACAATAATATAGGCTATGCTTGACCTAATCAATTATTGGTATAATAAAGCCAAACATTTAAAACATCATTAATACAACACCTTAATGACAGAACAGCCCTCTAAATATTGTTTTAATAAATAATTTAATTCACTTCAATGCTATATTTTGAACTACATTCATTGTTACTATTATTATTATCATTATTATTACTTATTTTATTATTATTTATTTTATTATTATCTGTATTATTTTTATTATTAATGCAATATTTTGATCTTCATTCATTATTATTATCATTATTATTATTATTATTATTATTATTATTATTATTATTATTATTATTATTATTATTATTATTATTATTATTACTATTATTTATTTATTATTATTATTGGTATTATTATTAATATTATTATTATTATTATTATTATTATTATTATTAGGCCTATGTCTTTGCCATTACCATTTTTTTTTCTGGTAGGTATCTTGTAGAGCGACATGTTCCCATTTTTTGCCTACCAGTCTCATTACGTTTCAAGTGAAATAAAAATGAATCATGAATTACACCAATGTCATCTATCAATAAGAATATCGATTAGATTAATTACCAGCAGCTTTTCGCACAGTGGCAATGCCGACAGAACACTGCAACTTTTTTGCACTGCGGCAGCTGTGCCGATAGAAAACGGCAGTGCCAAATCGGCACTGCGGCAGTGCCGATAGCCACTACCCCCCCCCACCCCGTCAACAGTGCAAGCTGGGCTAGCTAAGCATGCCGGCCGAGAATAGTCAGCGTGTGGTTCGAACCCTAGACAAGGAGGTTCACAACCATAATTGAAATCGCTGCGCCAAACCACCTTCAACGTATGTTCATTGTCAAGGCACCTTCGGAAATTTTGGTCACCTTATCTTTCCCAATCATCCGTTTTGGAGCAACAGCATAATGTTAACGACAATGATGTCCAGTGAAACAAAATATCTGGTCCTAAACTTATGATACTTTAATCAACTGAAATATGAATATATTTAATATATGGTTGCATTGTTTGTGATTTTATAAAATCTATAGATCAATTGATCTTAGCAATTTCTCAATTTTTTATAAACATCTTTTCAATGTCAAAATCCTTGGATGAACTAATTTTTATCCAGATATAACGAAATTATAGTGAGATGGGAACAGTGCATAGAGGAGCATAGCGCATTTAGTTGGGAGTGGGAAAAGACGGGAAAGACAAGAAAAGTGACGTATTGTAAAACAAAGGAGAGCCACCTTTATTGACTGAACGTGCGTTCGGAACATTGGAGTCCAAAATGCGTTGTGTGTGGATGTGGATTTTATGAAGATGGTCGTGCATATTCTTACACGCCGACCTTTATTTTTTGTAGAATTATGGATACACATGTTGGATACGGTTATGGTCGTTGTTTAGTCTCACACTTTAAAAGTAGGAGTACATGCTGTGACAGAACGTGTAGTGTGAAAATACACTTGGAAAACATTTGAACACCTATTAAATCCAGAATTGAGTATGCAAAACTCACTTCAAAATACTACAGTAGGTCTACATCTGATATAAAGAAATCACTAAGCAGAAAATGCAGGACGGGTACGCTTTTATATTAAGTGAATAATTTGACGTAGTGTCATGAATCACAAACTGTATCAATCTCAATGATCGCAACATATTTTAGTAATTTTTATTTTGGCCTAATAAATTGTATAAATTTAATTGAAAAGCTTTTTTACACTACAAATTACAGCACTGAATAGTCGCTTCTCAATCGAGAGATACAGATCGTTTTTGTGTATTCTGCCAAAAAAAAAAAAATCTATAAACAATTGACATGAGATCACCGTTCCATTTTTTTGCCTCTTACAATACCCAGGAGACAACATTTATTTTACCAGGAATTCAAAGTAGAAAGGGCGCGAGAGGGGATTTTAGAGATGGATTGTTAGATAACCGCAACCCCGTGATTGGGGCTGAGGTTTGAAATATGTCTATGACATCTCAAGGTGGCCGGAACTGGCTCTTTTAAACTTAAAGTTTAATAAAATTTTCGGTTTCTTTATTTTGTTTTAATTTTATATATATATATATCTGTCTCTTATACACATCTAGATGTGTATAAGAGACAGCATCAATAATACAACACCTTCATGACAGAACAGCCCTCTAACGTGTTTACACTCATCCACATGATTATGCTTTTTGTTTGTCAACGTGTCTACTTTAAGTTATCTTTCATTAATAGCAGTAAAACGTTAAGTTTAAATTTACTTACTATTCTCTATATAAGAGTTGTGGAATGCCACTTTTATGATATTTCAGAGTAAAAATTATAAAAATTTTATTCCTAAAATCTTAAAATAATATTTTTTTTAATTAAATATACAATGTAAGTTTTAATTATCTGATTTAAATAAATTTGAAATAATTTCAATTTTTATGCACTTAACTCAATATATAAGCAGTGATAACCATTAGGCCTATGCCAAAAAAAGCAAAACTGAAAACTCTTAATATCTGTTTAAAAAAAATATTCTCATTATCATGATGAGTGGCAAGAAAGGATTTGTTATGTAATCCATTAACCTCACTAAAAGAAAAGAAAAACAATATTTTACTGTTACAAAATTAAATGTTATTATTAACATGTGTGCAGGTAAAAAAAAAATCATGATTACAAACTTACGAAGTCATCAAAGCGATGTATATTTGTTGAACGCTTCATCAAGAAATACATTACTAACACAACTACGAATGCTATGAGAACGGGGATAAAGATGAACAATATCCAATGCTGAGATCTGGATGACGAGGGCAGACTTGCTTCTGTAAATAGATTATTAGACCATTAGAAATAAGGGTTAACCCTAAAAAATTGAAACAAAACGTTTTTCAACATATTTGGGTAGTAATGGGTGTGCTACATAACAGAAAAAATCTTACAAAATCCAACAACCGGAAAGTATTTTTTTCAAGATGGCCGCCAAAATGGAGCCCATGTCATAAACCAGCTAAAAATTGTAACTGTTATCGCGGTTTTTTCATCAGTATCGGGTTTTATGGGTCATTAAATCTTTTGAAACAATTTAAAATGTGATCTGATTAATATGAATATATTCAAGATGGCGTCCAAGATGGCGGCTATATATTATCATTATTACCGTTATTCTATGATACAATATTTGGCTACCAGTGACTATCTGCCTATAAACAGCCATAAATCAGTAATTACTTACTTTAGCAATTTCAATGCCATTTTTTACATTTTATTTTTGTATCAAACACCATACCATGTAAGATCCCATTGATTAGCTAAGATCCCATCGACTGCCCATGACATAGTCAGGCATAGATGCCTCCTCCATGGAAGCCACAAAGGTCATCCATCTAAAAGAGTTAATTGAGGGCATACTTGAGACCATGTACTTCTATGGAGAACCATGGGTGAACGAATACTAATGAATGGTGTATCACTGGACAGTGTGCTTGATCCGCTACTCACCAACAGTTACACGAATGACCAGCAAAGAAGTGAAGGAACACGCTGCTTCATCTACGCAGATAATCTTGGAGTAGTGCCCAAGTGACTACGGTATCGTCGAAGAATGACTCTCAAATGCTCTTGAACACCGTATTACGAAGAGGAACGTCTATGTGCAAATCTATCAAATACACAGGTGTGTGGCTTCCATCTGCTCAAGAAGCCAATCACATGCTGAATTTCTCCTGGTCTGGCACCCCACTACAAAATTGTGAGGGATCTAGGGTATCTAGGTTTCACCTTAGATCGTTGCCTTTTCTTCAAGGCTCATGTGGAGATGATGCAAGCTAAAGTCTGTACAAACAACATTTTCAGCAAGCCCCATCTGACAGCCTATATCTCCCTGTCTATACATTCTATCTGGTATAGCGCCTCCAGTTATTCGTTGTAGTTCTGCAAGTAGCGGAGAACCACAACCTCCAGATAAGCGAGATCCCTTATTTGGCCATTTACCTGCAAGGCGGAGTCTAAAGTCTAAGAAAAACTTCCTAATGTAATCAACACAAGTGCTGAAGCTAAAGACATTAAGATCTGCCTTGTGGAAAAAGAGGTTAGCTTATCTCCCAAACCGAACAACAATGTCCACGAGTGCTTCAAAGAACATATTCGAGTGGTATTGGTGCTTGAACAGACTGAAGATAAGAACTGGCCGATGCAAAGTGTCACTAATGAAGTGGGGATTCATTCACGCCGATGACATCATGCATGAATGTGGCACAGTCTCACAGAGCCACACTCTATGGAAGAGCTCATGAGATGCCCTCTATTGGATCTAACAAACTGAGGACCCAGCAAAGTCCAGCTCTAGTTAAAACAAAGTATCTAGCAAGTGTGTGGACACGATAAGAAGTTCTGTTGTATTATAGTAAATCAATTAGTCATTTGTTTCCATTTCTTCATCGTCTACCGCTCACTCTACATTCTCACATCCCTGAAGGTGACATGCTCAACAGGCGGATGTACATGCCAACCCATTGCAGTTTCAGACGCTATGGATAAATGATAGATGATGAAGAAGAAAAGGAAAGAGATGGCTAACTGATTTATCATGTATTACAGAACATGTCTTACAATTCAAGCCTCCTTGTTGGATAAACATGACCTAATCAAATGATCTTAGATGGTACCTTTCTTTGATACAAAACAACAAAATGTAAAAATTGGCATAAACATTGCTAAAGTAAGTATTGATGCATGGCTATTCATATATGGCGGCCATCTTTGACGCCATCTTGAATTTATTCTTATTGATTACATCACGTTCTAAAATGTCTCAAATATTTTATTGATCAATAAAACCTAATATTGATGGGAAGAAAAACGTGATTACAGTGCGTAATCGCAAAATTTGCAACAAAAGGTTTTTCAACGGATTTAGGTAGTATTGGATGTGCTAAGTAACAGAAAAAAGTCTTACAAAATCCGACCAACAGAAAGTAGTTTTTTGTTTAAGATGGCCTTGAAAATGGAGCCCATTATCATAAAACAGTTTCATATTGCCCTTTTTTGAGCTCTACTCTAATTAGGAAAAATAAATACGATTTTGGTGTTTATTCAAAATTCAAGATAACTATATTGTTCCATTTTAAAATAGGAAATTTGTTTTTCCAACAGTCTTGGTTAAAAAGGATAAAATTACATGAAAAAATCACAAGAAAAAACAACTATTAAGAAATACATTATAAATATAAGTTTGTGATGTAATGTAAATAAAAAGACTGTAGGCCTAATGTTTATAAGAAATGTAAATAAAGATTACGGTGTTTATTAAGAAATATAAATAAAACTATTACGATTTTATTATGAGAAATACAGTATAAATAAAAAAAAAATACGAGTCTGTGTATGAAAAAATAAACCTATAAATAACTAGGTCTGTACAGACATTCAGTACGACAGTTAGGCGACGATAGTATAAAACTAATTAAATTATAGAGTAATGTATGCATTTCATAAATTTAACAAAATAACAATATTAATTGTTATTAAAGTTTTTGTTAGTATTGCTAATAACTTAGCTGAACTGACAGAATATGTTTGTCAATATAAAAAAGCTGTTGTACTGATATGAGCATTCCAACTAAAAGAGTTTAAGTGTTTTGTACATAAAATCATGTTTGCATACAATACTTGACTGCAGCAATTAAAATTAAATGACAGAACCAAAGGATCCAAAATGAGTTGAAATTAAGTCAAATTTAAAAGCAATCCATGAATAATTCCACCAGACATTGGTATTATAACATTTATTGTTATTATAGGCCCACAGTATATTTATTATTATTTTATAGGCCTAACCATATATTCCCGTATATAAGCCGCGAATTTTATACTTGATTTCAACCCCAAAATGTGGGGTGAGGCCTATTTATGCTCCGATCATCAACCTATACGTAAAAAACTCATTCCGGATCGAGAACCGAGGCGAAAATCGCCTAGGTTAGGCCCAGGCGCAATTTGCTGGCCTAGTATTGTAATTATATTAACTACAGTGCGTACCAGAATTCCTACATTTTCTACGACATTCAAGCAATTTTTTTTATTTAACTGATTATTTTCATGTTACGTTCATTCATAAACAAAGTTTGATTATTTCTATTTGAACCCCCGCTTCACTCAAAACAATTAACTATTTATTCTTTTGGTCCTCGGGATCACGTGAGTTAAGCAAACTCGCTTTATGGCGCCTGGTTGCCAGTTGTCTATAGCAGTTATAGAATGTACTGTTATGTTTAAGAATAAAAACTTGTGGAATTAATGCGTGCTAAAACACAGATTTCCTTGAAGTTGTAATAATTTTGTTGACTATAATTTAACTTTAGCAGATTATATAACGTAAGCCTCCCAGTAACCCGGCGTTGTACAGTGTGTTTCAACCGGCCATGTGCGTTTTGTGACGATGTTTCGTGAAACAATACTTACATGACCCGTGAAAGTTTTCAAACATTGTTTATGAATGAACGTACAGTAACACGAAAATAATAATAATCATTGCCTGAATGTTGTAGAAAAAGTAGGAATTCTAGTACAGCACTGTAGTGAGTATAATATTACAAAAATAGGTCAGCAAACCTAGCTAGACTAATAAAACTGTGCTAGCCTTGGCCTAACGTATTTACGATTTTCTCCCCTGTTCGCGATCTGGAACGGTGGCAGCGTCAGCGGGGGGGGGGGGAGAGGCTTAAGCCCCCATCGGTCTGGTCAAGCCCCCCACCCCCATCGGCTAAAGCTCTTCGGGCAGCCGGACCAAAAGAAGATAAAAATAGGCCTAGTTTCCCCATCCCAGCCAAGTCCCAATTTAAAAGAAAAAAATCTCGTTTCGGGGGAGGGGACATCCTCTTCCCATACCCACACCTGGCTCGGGGCTTCGGCCCTCAGATGAAGATAACGCTGTGCGTAAATATAGCCCCCACACCACCCCTCCCCCCCCAGTCGGACAACTTAAATTATATCCTAGAGCCGCCACTGATCTGGAATATTTAAGAGTAGGTATGACCGGTGCATGGGCCGCTTCAGATCCCGAATTTCGGGGTCGAAATCGCGTCTAATATGTGCGGCCTGTACAGGAATACAGAAATATACGGGTACCTATAAAATAGGCCTGAATAGTAACTTGCGGATTGATATTGGAACAAGATTTTGTTACTTCATGGACCTAATGTTTCTGTTTATTTCACCACGTGTCCTGCTGAGTTAATCTCCAATGATAATCCTTTGAACAAACAACATTGTTTACTTAGCTGATCGTGTTAGTCACGTGCCCCAATAGTCGGGTTCCCTTTCTGGAGATATGTACACATAATGAAAGATTAAATACATACAAAATATTTTTTTTATTAATTCTTTTAACAATAAAGTTAAAGTGGAGTAACCACAAACTGATAACGGATTAAAGAAAATTACATTTTCGAGAATGTATTATGCTTCGGATAACTGATGTAATTTAAATTATATAAAAAAAATACGATTGCGTTTTAGGTTCATTATAGTTAGCGTTTTAAATAATAAGGAATAATAGGGTAGTAAGAATTACCTGAACAAGCTTTTTCAGAAATAGTGCAAAATGAGGAAAATCATCCATTTCATTTTGAATTGATTGGTAATGGTAATGGGTGGGATATTTGTAGTGCGCCTACCACAATAAAAAAGGTAGGACCATGAATTTTAAAAAATTAAATTATATTATATCTTATATTAAAGAGCCTATATTAATCAGAATATTTTTTTTAATTTTATTTATTATAAGTTAAATAAATATAAATAAATGAATGAAGTAAATAAATAA